ATTTCAATTAAATCTAAATCATTTATTTATTTAAATCCAATGGCTATAAATTGGTGTAAAACTTAATTAGTTTTACATAGTGTAAATGGATCCTAACCCCTGTATGTATGTATGTATCAATTAATACAATTTTAGTTATTTATTTCAATATCGAGTGACTTTAATACTAAAAGGAAATGTGATATTTTCATTGACATAAGTTCGAATAGCTACGTTTGCGGGGCGTGTCTGGGTTGTCAATGACTTAAAAAGATTATGAATTGTTAGTTTTATTAAATAAAGAGGAATTAACTCAAAAATAAGGAGTCTACAAAAACAAGATTAAACTACTCACATAAACCTAACATTTTTCCTACAACAACCAAAGTACACAAACTAGACACTTAAGAATAAAAGAATATCGTACAAAGAAAGAGTTAAAACCCTACCAGATAACTTAGATAAACGATAGAAACAAACAAATATCACTATTGATGGTGAAAGATAAACAACATCAACAACAGTAACATAAAAAACACATAAAAATGATGACTCATTAATAAATTGACATCGTCACAACTCAATCACAATCTATCTTTGATGATTGTAAAATCATATCAATATCTAATTTTGAGATCCAAAATTAGGATAAATCAACATAATAATTAAATAAAAATAAGTTAAATCTAAAAAGGTGACATTAAATTCAGTCATTTTCATATGAAAAGGGAAAGACTAACTAAACAAAAGATAATATATATTCCAAATTGAAATAAAACAAGATTGAATTTGTTAATAATTGATGAATAAAAAATTAAACTAATTCTTCTATTGATTTCGAACCCAATCAATTCAAATAAAGTTAAAATTTCAGAAGTAAGTATATTATTTTAATATTTGAATATTTATTAAATACTTGATAGAAAGCATACATTTGAACTAAAAGCCCACACAGTCCAAATTCCAACAAATTATTGTAAAAAATAAAAATAAAAATAAAATAAAGTACTGATTTTGATGGAAGAGGAAATAAATCAAAATTATTAAAGCAGTTATTATTATTATTTTTATTATTGAAAAATGATAAATTGGTTGGAGTATAGGAGAAAAATAATCCCTCTATGAAAATTTTCGTCTAATTTTATCGTTTAAGTGCCAGTCAATGGTAAAAGTGGATCATTTTATTCTTATTATAAATGTAAGAGGATTAATTTGTTAATTTTTATAAGAGGGGAGGTTAAAATATAACTTATATATAGTATAGATACTGATATGATGCTTTTATCAAATATATTTTCAGTTTCGATTCAATTAATTTAGTCAACAATTACATTAGCTTAACGTTTCTATAAAATTAGTTTATTTTCGAAAAGAAGTCATATAATTTTTTTTGCGGTCCTTAATTTTGCTAATAATTACTAGTCTTTTAATTTTGATCAATGGTGACACTCCTTTTTCATTTTTTACTTCGTGGTCCTTAATTTTGGTAATAATTACTATTTTTACATAGTGGTCCTTAATTTTGATAAATTTTTATTTTGTGGTCCTTTAACTTTGATATCCATCACTGAAAGTTGCATTTTTATATAAAGGCATTTGGTAGAATCCCAAATATTAATAATTTACAATTTAAATATATATTTTAATTATGAATGTATTATTAACATTAACACCTTTAAGATGATATATATTTTATTGTTGGTAATGTTTATTTGATTGAACATTTTAACCATTTTCTTGTAGGCTTAAACTAAAAAAGATACTCAAACAATGCTATTTTTTGCTTTAAGTACCTAAACTATATTTTGATCAAACTAAGTCCTTAAACTATTATATGTAATCACTTTAAGTACCAAAACTATTTCTTGGTCAAAATAAGTCCCTAAATTATGTCTCTTTTTTACTTTAAGCCCCTAAACTATTTTTTTGGTCAAACAAGTACATAAATTTATATGATGTGTCAACATCTTATTGGTCGAAAAACATTTTTCTAACTGAAAAAAATTAAATGTAATAGTTTAAGGGCTTAGTTTGACAAAAATAATTTAGGTACTTAAAGCAAAAAGAATGCATAGTTTGAGTACTTGTTTTTACGTTAAGTTTTTCTAGTATGGTCTTATTTTCGTTTATATTATTTGATAGTTTCAGAGAAAATTATCGATTAATATGAGTAGTCTACTTTATTTTTTATAAACTTATCTTTATAGAGGTTGTGATTTGGTTGTACTTTCTACTTATTCAATTAATTAACTAAATAACAATAAAATAGATTACTTAACCATGTATTTTACCAGCAAAGCTTTCATAGCACAATGATATAGGGTACAAATCAAGGAAAATTAATAAAAGAATTGATGTCGTATATATGACTCAATATAAAAATAAGTGTCTAAACTATGACTCGAAAAACGTTTTAGCGCCTAAAGGAATTTTTGTTAAAAATAGATGTTTAACGTTTTCTCCATTACACTTTTAGTTGATTGACTTTAAAAATCAGTTGTTAACTAATAAGTATCGTCTTCAGATTTAAAAAAAAAAAAAATTATTACTTTTTAAAAAATCTCAAATGTTTCAAGAATATCAAAATGATCCCTAGATTTCGAAACCAAATCATTCAACTCTTTTGTTATCATCGACCGCATACCCACCGGTCGTCAAACTCCATTACTGTCAAGTCCCTTGTCATCACCCTTAAATCGGCCATCGGTCAAAAATCGACCTCAAATCGCTATAAATCACGAGCAAAATTGGAAGTAATATCGCGCAAATCGTCTTAAATCATGTGCAAATCAGTCGAAGACATAGGCTGGGGCTTCACCAGACTTTGGGTTAGGGATGGTTGGTAGTGGGTTTCATTGCCGGTGGGTGGAGTTCGTCGATATTTGGGTTAGGGATTTTGGAGAGGTTTTATGATTTTTGGGTGTTTTGTGAAAAGAATGAAAATATTGGGATTTTTTAAAATAATAATAATAATAATAATTTTAGTTTTCTTTTTTAAATAAAAATTTTGAAAAAAAATATGAGGGTGACACATGTCCTTTAACAATAAATTTAACGTCGGGTACCTAAAAATATAACGGAAAAAATGTTAAACACCTATTTTTAGCAAAAATTTCTTTAGGAACCAAAATATTTTTTAAGACATAATTTAAGCACTTATTTTTTATATTAAGCCTTTATATATAATATGTGTATTAGAGGAGAATAAAATCTTGTAGTAAAAACAAAATATTGATTTGTTCAAACAAGATAATGTTTAAAAAGAAACATCACTGCATATATAGAGGCCAAATTCGCTATATTTATTTGTATAAAATAATCACTAATGTTTAATTGGTCAGAAAAAAAAGTTAATAAATGGTATTTATTGAGAGGGACATTGTGACATACATGAAGAGGGTGACATGTGTATATAAATATTCCTCGATTATAAAGATTTATTTTATTGAATTATTCCTCTGTTAAAAATTATAAAATAATTATTTTAATATTTATTATACTCTAAATTCATTATTTTTCGTTAAAAATTAACGATTTTTAAGTTTGATGTTAACATGATGACTAAGATATAAAAATCATTTGAGATTTTAGATCAAATTTTATCATAAAAATGATAGTCAGCAGATTAACGTTTAACTCAAAATATTATCATTTTTGATGGAAAATGACGAGTTTGAAATATAGTGAATAGTCGAATGACTATTTTGTAACTTTTAATAGTCGAAAAAATCAACAAAGCAACACTCTATAATCAGAAGATCAATTTATAACTTTTAATAGTATCTTAATAAAACAATATCTTATAGTTAACAGTGTACTTTAGCCCAATTACTAATGTACAAATATAATATATCAAATAAAGTAGAATGAGATACAAATATATATATAAGCATTGTCACCGAACGTTTAATTTGGATAAGTCTTTAATCTTAAAAAGATAGATTAATTATAATAATAATAATAATAATAAAATTATTCTATATAATAATTTAATGTTTTCTCAGATTATATTAATATAGTGCTGAATATTATAAACTTCATGTTTAAGTGATTTGGACGGACTCTCGACAGTACCTAAAAGAATTATGTTTTGATTACACTAATATAAAATTTTAATTACTTTATTCGATAAAAAAAGGGTTAATTTATTCTATTCATGATTTTGCCTTGATTGAGCTTACGTCAGCTAAGACGTATCTTTTCTATCGGTTCCCATCCCAAAAATATAGTTTAATTCTCTCTTTTATAGGTGATTACAGCCCTGTAAATGAACCCAACCTTCGGTGAATCATTCGGTCAAAAATTTGTTTATGTTCGTTTATCTATTAAACGAACGAATATAAATAAGATTTTATATTCGTTTAATTAAATAAATAAATACGAATAAAAGATTTGTTCGTTCATTTACGTTCGATAATTCATTCGTTTATGTTCATTTATGTTAGTTTGTTTATGTTCTCTAGATATGTATGAAATATTAAGACTTAATAAAATTTAACCTTAAAATCATTAATATTTTTAAACTCAATTAATTTTAAACCCAAATAAAAAAAAACTCAAATCAATTAAAGAAAATATAAATCCTAAAATTATTCGAAAAGAAAAACTCTTCTCAAATATAAACTCAAATAATTTTATGTTCGTTCGTTTATGTTCGTTTACGTTCGTATATATTCGTTTATCATTTTAATAAACACACATGAAAGAAACACGAACAAACTAAATTTCTTAATAAACGAACACAAATAAGAAATTGTGTTAGTTTAGTTGTTTATATTCGTTCGTTGCTTTGGTTAAAATTAAATAAATAAACATACTCTAATTCGTGTTCGTTTATAGGCATATTCTTTTTTTAGTTATTAACGATACACATACATGATGTGGATATAATATTATTCAAATTTAATACCTTTAAAGACACGTACGGCACCGACATCGATACTCGAGTCCGAGTAATATAGGTTCCCACCCTTCTCATTATCGAAAATCTCGAAATAAACAAAGATCAAAATTGTTAGCAATTTGTGAAATGCATCTTCAAATTTGCAAAAAATAGAATTTCTGAACAATAGTAAGCTTCGGCTATTATGACAACTTTCCTACTTCTAATTCTAATCTCACACTATCACTTTTGAGTTCTTATGAATCTGTAATGGTATATTGCAGCAATCATCTTCGACAGCTTGATACTATTTCTTACGCATTTAAATACAATAAATACTGCCACCATACGAGAAATTACGGAATTTTTCGAACATTGCAGGCTAAAATAAAACCTGGCCTCCAGATGTTACACCAGCAGCATCTTCGGGTCAAGAATCGATCGAAGGCTCAGTTGTAGAAACACGACAGCTGAACTACCACGTAACGCTTCTTGTTGCTAGAGTACATTACCATATCGGACTTGATATCAATGGTCGCGACTACCGGAAAAGCATCGGATCAGCTTATCCTTCCAGTTTGATCAATCAACGTACCAACTTGATCTCCACATAACGCTTTCGATATGTTTCCAGGCTGAAGAAGGTTAAAGACCACAACTGTGACAAAGTAAATGGATTTAATTCGTAGGGGATCGATTGTCTAGTAATGAAGGATAACATATTTCGGAAGCTAATCATAAAAACCCAGAACAACAAACATGAAGCGTGATTTCTACAAGAATACCAACCGGGAATGCCATTTTCTTCACAGAAGGTCAATGCCATCATGTCCATGGCTGTGGCGCCTCTTGAGACTAAATCCCGAAACGAGATGTGCTCAAAGGTAGCATTGTTGTCCTGGGAATGGCAGTCATAAACACCGTCGACATTCGTACCTTTAACAACTGCCTCGGCTTGAACTGAAGAGAAAGCAGTAGACAAGTCAAATGTCGAGAACCCCAAGAAAGATGAAAGAAAAAAGTGTTTGCATGCGTGACAAGTGTTCCGTGTCAGATATGGAAGGGGAACAAAGAAAAGAGAGACACATAGTTCAAGAGATTGAATGGTAGAACACCAGAGAGAGATGACCATACTTTCTGAAGCTCGAAGTGCTGCAGCTGTGTCGGTAGAAAAGAGTGGATTTCCGGTGCCAGCACCAATGCCACCAAATATTACAACTCTACCTTTTTCAAGATGACGTATGGCACGTTGCCGACTGTACGTTTCTGCAATCTCTTGCACAGAAAATGCAGTTTGCACACGGGTCTGAACTCCCATCTTCTCCAACGATGATTGCAGGAGTATAGAATTCATCACGGATGCCATCATGCTGCAGTAAGTTGCAGGATCATGGTTTTGATTAGTTTCATAATCATATATGAAGATATATGTTAGCCCATGACTTTCTTATTAGCGCATGAAGAAGATTGAAAGTTCACATAACAAGCAGATTCATTAGCTAAGATCTTTTCTTGTGACCCCAGCATTTTATTCCGATTATTGGATATATTATGCCTATGTTACTCTAACTGTTTATCTTTCCTAAAATACCTGTTTCCAACACCTATTTCCAAAACATACTCTGACATGGGTATGCGAATATGATTTTCCAAGGACCCTCCAAATACATGGAAGTCCTGGAAAGAATTAAGCATGCCCGTGTGAGACACATACTCATTTCCAATAAGCCTGAATCTAAGCAACATGCAACTAACAAGCAGAAATATATACCACCCAACTTAAATCACTACCAAAAACAGCCAAAAAGTATCAGCTTATGATCATAACCCGGGAACTATAAAACTATCAATGTTTCAACATACAATATAAAAACAGCTATATATCAGCAAGCTTAGTCTTATAAGTCTGGCCCAAGTTTAAGCTTTATATTCTTCCATTATATAGTTCAAGATTAAACCAAATTTAGCATGCAATCATCCATCGTGAGTAAAGAAGTGAACGCATTACCCAATTTGATATGCAGTACTTCTATCTAAACCTGTTGCAGTAACCCACGTGTCTCCACAAAAGAAATTGCGACCTCCAACAACGATTGCTACCTGGAATTTCACCAAAAAGTATTGCATCTTAACAGAATTGCAAACACCCGCAATCATAAGAGATAAAGGCAGTAATGATTACCTCTACACCAAGGCGGCATGCAATTGCAACTTCCCTAGCAATCAACATTGCTACCTGATAATGAGAAAGAAATAACATTCATGCAAATTGACAACAATATTATCCGACTTTCAAACTTTATATAACAAACTCATGGTGAACCTTAGGGTCGATTTTGAGAGGACCAGTGCAAGCAAGAGCTGCGCCACTAATTTTGAATACCACTCTGCGCCATTTAGGACTTTTGGATTTCATGGTAATCTGTCCTACAGGGCTTGGTGTAGCTAAACCATATCTGCCAATCAAACAACGAAGAAGGCATCTCTATCATTGTATAAACAACAAAATACACTAAACATGTCTTTTAATCACAAACTAGGGCATCATCATTACAAGCCAGAATCAGGAACTATCAAATGATAGAACACTTCACATACAAATTTTGTACAATGAAGCGATAGAATCAGAATCATTTCAAACGAATTCAATAAAAGACTGAAACTGGGAATGTTTGCTCAAGTTTTCCTTGATCATGATCTCTTCCCTATTTATTTATTTACAGTAGAGGTTATGAGTATGCGCCCTCATAACAGTAACAAATACTATTCTAGCAGTTTTTGTCAAAGATTTCCGAAAAAGTGCAGATATGAACCTTTGGAATTTGGATATCCATTATCAGAATCTAAATTACTGATGCAGATAATATACAAATCTGCTTTAATTTAGCAGATAACAAATTTGAAGATCACAAACAATCATTTCTCAAGTTATTCCCTGGCTACATTTGATTCTAGTGAAGCATTAGCAGATTATAACCAGAAATGGAATGGTATCAAATTATACCTTTTGGATTGTCTGGCAGCAGTTCCCGGAGAAGAGCCGCCCTTATCTTCATCGGCCATCGCCTTCGCCGGAAGAGAATTTCCAACAATCTCTTCCATTTTCTTAAACCAAGGCCAATGAATCGCCGTGATGCCGCCATCACTCATCCTATGCCTCTCAAGCTTATACCTTTTCTTCAAATTATCAACCTTGTTCTTGCACTGCTCCACACTCTTGCTCTGCTTCTCGCACCGCTCGCTGACCGCGGCCGCCACTTCTTCCCAATCTCTTCCTCTCAGATTCCCTCTGTTTAGCTGAGTCAACTTCTCCATATACGCCTCCAACAAACACCCGATCGCGGTGTCGCTCCATTCTTCTCTGTCTTTCCGGTACTCCGTCGATGCCGACTGCTTCGATCTCTTCAAAACCCCGTCGTTTATCTCTTCTTGATCCCTCCTCTTCTCGATCCGCGCATCAGACGACGCAGCGTTACTACTGTTGTTGTTGGTACCGAAATTGCCTACGGGGAACGCAGAATCGGAGTCATCGTCGGCGTTGTGATTTTCGGGTGGAGGTGCGTGGACCTGCGTGTAAGAAGGATGGTAGTAGTGGTGGTGACCGGGGTTAGGTTCGTGATCGTCGATGAGAGAGAACTCGTCGTCAACGGAAGAAGCCATAGGCGGACGTTAGGGTTAAGTGGGAAAAGGGGAACGGATTCGAACGGAAGACGTTAGAGGGTGGAGGGAGAGAGAGTGGGGGAATAATTTGACGGAACATGATGGGCCGTGACGGGTAGAGACGGTTCCGTTAAGTAATGGGTGAAAGCTGGGAAGGAATCGGCACGTGGGTTGACCAGTATGGGTCGACATCCGGTTCGATTCGATTTTGACGAATTTGGGTTTCTCTGAGGACATGAAATAAAATTGGATTCAATACGAGCTTTTTCATGGGCCCTTTACTGAAATTTCAACCCAAATTTTTTAAAAGGTAAATTATTTATTTAGTATCTAAACTATCAGTTTTAGTTCATTCCGATAACTAAATTTTTATTTTTTTCAAAATCATACCTAACATTTAGTTTTTGTTTCATTTTATTAACTAGTAGTTTTGGTCCGTTTTAGTACCTAAACTTTTAGTATTTTCAAAATCATACCTAAAGTTTAGTTTTTATTTTATTTTAGTACCCTCATTCAAAGTTTAATGTTAATTTTTGAGAAAATTTAAAGTTTAGGTACTAAAAAAGAAAAAAATTGATAGTTTAGGTACTATACATGTTAAGTTCTAACATCATGTATAAATGAAACAGTATGGTTTTGAAAAAATTGAAAGTTTAAGTACTAAAGAAGACTAAAATTAATAGTTTAGGTACTATACGCATAGTTTTCCCCTTTAAAAGGTTAAATTCAACCCGTAGTTGGAATTAAATATTCCATTAAATTGAATAAAATAAATTTAAATTAATCAAATTTGGTAGCATTATTTTATATTTGAATTTTATTTAATGTACTATACGTCTCTTTCCAGGACCTCATCTCGATGATGCTGAACTAGGACCCCCAAAAGATGGTCCACCGGCTCTTCTGCTAAGTTTCCAATTAGCCAGTGAATTTTGCCATAAAATATTATTAGAATCCCTAAGTTGCGTATAATATGTCATTGTCGCAAATTATTCACACAAAAGTACAAAAGTGCAAAAGTAAATAAGAATCTATTTTAGTTTAGGTACTATACGCATAGTTTTCCCCTTTAAAAGGTTAAATTCAACCCGTAGTTGGAATTAAATATTCCATTAAATTGAATAAAATAAATTTAAATTAATCAAATTTGGTAGCATTATTTTATATTTGAATTTTATTTAATGTACTATACGTCTCTTTCCAGGACCTCATCTCGATGATGCTGAACTAGGACCCCCAAAAGATGGTCCACCGGCTCTTCTGCTAAGTTTCCAATTAGCCAGTGAATTTTGCCATAAAATATTATTAGAATCCCTAAGTTGCGTATAATATGTCATTGTCGCAAATTATTCACACAAAAGTACAAAAGTGCAAAAGTAAATAAGAATCTATTTTAGTGCATCATACAATAAATCAAGGAAAATTTTAGGAGGTGATAGATCAATACGGAAAAAAGGGTGGCAGGTGAAAACCATTGGTTCTTAGTACTTTGTCATTATTCAGCAATACAATTCTCATTGATAACTGTGACATTAATTTGACAGGTGTTACCCTGTGAAATCACTTTTATATTGTACCCAACAAACCAAAGAAATCATCATTTTGCTCTAGAGCTTGATAACAATAGACAAGAAACGATAGTAAACAAAACAGAAGTAACAACTTTATCGTTATCTATACAGCTACTGTAATTGTAATCATAATATATTACTCGTGATCCAACCTTAGCTGTTCTTTTCTGTCTAACAAAATCCATCAAAGGTGTAACTATGGAAGCATCCTTTGGCGCACCTGAAAATAGGCATTAGTTGCATGACTGGAAAATATAACATCAGAGTGCAGATGTGAATAAGATTTGTGCAACTAACCAACTCTTTCCACTTCACTCCTCTCTAATTGTATCTCTGCACTAGGAAGATTCTCAACTGGCTTCGCAAGAAATTCAAGGAACTCCAAATACTCAGGATCTAGATGTTCATTAAGAAATACTTGTATTTATGAACGGGAAAATAGAGGCACGTGTAAGCCTACATTAAATCCATTCCACATTTGAAGTATGCTTAAAGCAAATCAGCTTATTACCTTTGAATATTGTCCCTTCCTGACCATCGTTTTTGTAGCAGTTCTTTGGAACTCGTTCGGAAGGTGCATACTAAACACATGAGTTTCAAAGCAAAACAAATAACGGGAAGCTCATAAATTTTTTCTTGCAGAAATCAAACCAATCATCTTACTTGTACACTGGACAGAACAGAAAGAGGCAGAAGCCAACCAAATGCATCTCCCAAATAATATGAATACCGCTCAGGCAAGGGTTACCACTTTTGATTATGATGACACCGCTTAATAAAATTCCAAAGCAGTGGAACAAAAAAGAGAAGTGCAAAATCCTGCATCAAATTCTCTCCAACATGCATAAAAATGAGAAACCCCTGTTACATAGGCCTGCAGGGATCTAAACAAAGTCTATATAGGGGAATCAAGCATCAACTCTATAGAAGTGAAATCAAACATGAGACAATAAAAGAAAGCACTATGCTTATCTAAAACCTAAAACTTCAAGACAATATTTTAATGATTATTATCTGTAAAAAGAAAAAAATATGTCCAATCTGGTATCCCACTGAACATGAAGATGAACTGCAAAGTTAATCAAATCCCATCACACCCTCAATAGTATTTCCGCAACAGAAGAAATATGATTGAGCAGCTTATTTTTTTTTTGAAGTCTGAGGATAATGGAAATCATAACATCTCCTCCAATATCAAAACTCCATTCTTGCAATGCAAGCTTACAAGTATAGTCTAGCAATAGATACTTAAATCCCATGACCTGAGATCCAGTGCCTGGCCCAATTGCTAGAGAGATCATCTTAAGATTGCTCTAGAACATCTGCGAGTTCCCATAATCTAATGTTCATCATTCAGAATTTGAAAGACTGAATAATTACAGAGGAAAACGAACGTAATTAGGTCATGCGGTCGATTTATCGCTTCAAATAATCTCTGTTTTGCGTTATCTTCTTTCAGTGTTTTTATTTCATTATGCCGTATGGCTGGTGATGATGCTATTGCCTGGTAAAGTAGCAAGATTGAGGCCAAAGTTATTAGCCAGACGTATGGCTTTCAAGCCATCGCTGCCTACACTCGGCGCATTCCATAATACAGACTCGTCCAGAAGGTCTGATTGGCAAGGTACCAGTTGGACCTACGGATCAAAATTCCATAATTTTTAAGTAAAGATTTAAGGCTAATGAATTCCAAACGTGTTTTTTCTATAGCAGTGGAATGAACAAAGGAAGAATTTCTGACAGGAGAAGATGCTCCCATGGGATGTTTAAGGGCTTCAGCAGTGGCTTTATTAGTCAAAGCAAAAATCACTTCTCTCGCATTGGAGCTGAACTTATAATCTTTATAGCAAAATAAAAACAACAACAAAGATTTCCATCAAAACCACACTAAAATCTTAAGTTTTAGCACTCAAAAGGTTTAGAAAAACGAGATTAATGCTGCTATGGTACCTGGGATTCATCACAGTGATCATATGGAGCAAGTACAACCTTGTGTCAGTAGCAAAACCAAATGCTCTCAGCATCAATCCTACTTCATGAGAAGTGGACATCTGCCTCACCTCCTCTCCCCATCGACATCGGCATCCTGCAAATACAAGGATGAGTGCAACTTTACTGGATTGCAGGATGCATAAAAAAGAAAAGGCATCAGTAACCATTATAATAACATGCATTATGCTGTATATTAAAGAGAACTAATTTAAAGAAATAAGATATCTGAAAACAGAAGAAAGCAAGGAGAAAACACCAAATACTGAATTACCTGTTACTGCAACTGAGTTTTGACTACATCAAGCGGGGTAGTGATAACCGGAGCAGAATCATGACAAACTGAATTATCCAAATTAACATCAGAATCATTTACAACTGTTGCAAGACCCCTGAAAATAGCATGCTTCTTCCCATTTTTCATCATAACTTCCATTGCAATAAATTCACTTTGTAATAATTTGGGAACTACCGACAATGGAAGCAATGAACGAATGCTCACCCATGAACTGTCTTTCCCTAGCCTAATCCAGAAACCAATATCCTTATGAGAAGCATACTTTCTTTCTGCATCTCTTAGAAAATTTGCATTTGTGCTCCTCTCAAAATAAGAAGTGGAAACAGAGAGGTTACAAGGCAAGTTACTGTAAAAATCTTCTTATAATAACAAATTTGAACCAATAAATTAGGAACTCTGCATCTTGCTTGTGGAGGTTTGTCCTAGGACTAGCTATGTGTTTTGAGTGCTCAAGGATTTGGTTACAAGGCAAGTTCTTGTAAAAATCTTCTTATAATAACAAATTTGAACCAATAAATTAGGAACTCTGCATCTTGCTTGTGGAGGTTTGTCCTAGGACTAGCTATGTTTTTTGAGTATGCATTCGGGTCTGCATTGCTTTGTGTTAGGACTTTGCATTGAGGTTTACATATATGATTTGTGAGTCAAATTCTAGCTTCCTGTCTTCAGGTGCTGGAATGCAAGATGAAGAAACTGTTGCAGCCTCTGGAAGATTGATGGTATCAGCCATTATATCAGAAGCATGTTTCAAGGTGTCAAAAGGAAGTGGAATTGTAGATTCAACAGCAGCGGGTTCATCATTTCTATCATATGTTTCAGGTGCAAGACTCTCGGCATATACATTCAAATCAAACGTAACCGAACATTTCTCTCCAGATTTATAGGACACCTCACCCTTCATATGCTCCTCCGTAACATGTGTTTATCAACAGACATTGATAGAAGCTTATAACACTAAAAAAACAAGAACAAACAAAAACCAAACCTGGAATATTGAAGAGACCGATAAAAATATTGGCAAATCTTCTCAAGAATCACAACACTTATCTCCGGAAAAGTCACTTCCCCCATGCTTCGCCTCCGCAAAGCCACCTTCACCATCACCAACCAAAAGGAAAACAAGTTAAAATTAGAGCTTTCCAAGTAAGAACCCAGAAAACCAAATGCCGAAAATGATCACACAAGAAGAAATGAAAGAAAAAACAAAATCAGAACTGGAGAAGTAAGCATGTTACGGATGGTTTGAGAAACCATGGAAGCTTCCTTGTCGATAACAAATTACATCCCTTCAGCGCTGATGAGTTTCACTCTATCCTCTTTCTTCATATTTTCTTTAAGATTGCGAAAGAGTTCAGGGTTCGGGGTTCGAGGCTCGGGGCTCAGGGCTCGGGGTCCAGGGGTCCAGGGGTCCGGGGTCCGGGGTCCGGGGTCCGGGGTCCGGGTCCGGGTCGGGGTCGGGGTCGGGGTCTGGGGTCTCCCTTCAGCGCTGATGAGTTTCACTCTATCCTCTTTCTTCATATTTTCTTTAAGATCGCGAAAGAGTTCAGGGTTCGGGGTTCGGGGGTCGGGGCTCGGGGTCCCGGGGCTCGGGGTCCAGGGGTCCCGGGTCCGGGGTCCGGGGCGGGTCCGGGGTCGGGTCCGGGGTCCGGGGTCCGGGGTCCGGGGTTCCGGGGTCCGGGTCCGGGTTCCGGGTTCCGGGTTCCGGGTTCCGGGGTCCGGGGTCCGGGGTCCGGGGTTTAGGGTTTAGGGTTTAGGGTTTAGGGCTTAGGGCTTAGGGCTTAGGGCTTAGGGCTTAGGGCTTAGGGCTTAGGGCTTAGGGCTTAGGGCTTAGGGCTTAGGGCTTAGGGCTTAGGGCTTAGGGCTTAGGGCTTAGGGCTTAGGGCTTAGGGCTTAGGGCTTAGGGCTTAGGGCTTAGGGCTTAGGGCTTAGGGCTTAGGGCTTAGGGCTTAGGGCTTAGGGCTTAGGGCTTAGGGCTTAGGGCTTAGGGCTTAGGGCTTAGGGCTTAGGGCTTAGGGCTTAGGGCTTAGGGCTTAGGGCTTAGGGCTTAGGGCTTAGGGCTTAGGGCTTAGGGCTTAGGGCTTAGGGCTTAGGGCTTAGGGCTTAGGGCTTAGGGCTTAGGGCTTAGGGCTTAGGGCTTAGGGCTTAGGGCTTAGGGCTTAGGGCTTAGGGCTTAGGGCTTAGGGCTTAGGGCTTAGGGCTTAGGGCTTAGGGCTTAGGGCTTAGGGCTTAGGGCTTAGGGCTTAGGGCTTAGGGCTTAGGGCTTAGGGCTTAGGGCTTAGGGCTTAGGGCTTAGGCTTAGGGCTTAGGGCTTAGGGCTTAGGGCTTAGGGCTTAGGGCTTAGGGCTTAGGGCTTAGGGCTTAGGGCTTAGGGCTTAGGGCTTAGGGCTTAGGGCTTAGGCTTAGGGCTTAGGGCTTAGGGCTTAGGGCTTAGGGCTTAGGGCTTAGGGCTTAGGGCTTAGGGCTTAGGGCTTAGGCTTAGGGCTTAGGGCTTAGGGCTTAGGGCTTAGGGCTTAGGGCTTAGGGCTTAGGGCTTAGGGCTTAGGGCTTAGGGCTTAGGGCTTAGGGCTTAGGGCTTAGGGCTTAGGGCTTAGGGCTTAGGGCTTAGGGCTTAGGGCTTAGGGCTTAGGGCTTAGGGCTTAGGGCTTAGGGCTTAGGGCTTAGGGCTTAGGGCTTAGGGCTTAGGGCTTAGGGCTTAGGCTTAGGGCTTAGGGCTTAGGGCTTAGGGCTTAGGGCTTAGGGCTTAGGGCTTAGGGCTTAGGGCTTAGGGCTTAGGGCTTAGGGCTTAGGCTTAGGGCTTAGGGCTTAGGGCTTAGGGCTTAGGGCTTAGGGCTTAGGGCTTAGGGCTTAGGGCTTAGGGCTTAGGGCTTAGGGCTTAGGGCTTAGGGCTTAGGGCTTAGGGCTTAGGGCTTAGGGCTTAGGGCTTAGGGCTTAGGGCTTAGGGCTTAGGGCTTAGGGCTTAGGGCTTAGGGCTTAGGGCTTAGGGCTTAGGGCTTAGGGCTTAGGGCTTAGGGCTTAGGGCTTAGGGCTTAGGGCTTAGGGCTTAGGGCTTAGGGCTTAGGGCTTAGGGCTTAGGGCTTAGGGCTTAGGGCTTAGGGCTTAGGGCTTAGGGCTTAGGGCTTAGGGCTTAGGGCTTAGGGCTTAGGGCTTAGGGCTTAGGGCTTAGGGCTTAGGGCTTAGGGCTTAGGGCTTAGGGCTTAGGGCTTAGGGCTTAGGGCTTAGGGCTTAGGGCTTAGGGCTTAGGGCTTAGGGCTTAGGGCTTAGGGCTTAGGGCTTAGGGCTTAGGGCTTAGGCTTAGGGCTTAGGGCTTAGGCTTAGGGCTTAGGGCTTAGGGCTTAGGGCTTAGGGCTTAGGGCTTAGGGCTTAGGGCTTAGGGCTTAGGGCTTAGGGCTTAGGGCTTAGGGCTTAGGGCTTAGGCTTAGGGCTTAGGGCTTAGGGCTTAGGGCTTAGGGCTTAGGGCTTAGGGCTTAGGGCTTAGGCTTAGGGCTTAGGGCTTAGGGCTTAGGGCTTAGGGCTTAGGGCTTAGGGCTTAGGGCTTAG